TGTGCAGGTGGCTTAGAGAGGATGTGTGCTCCGGGACGTGACGCACGTCCATCAAAACAGTCTCGGCTTTTCTTGTGGGAAAGCTCCTTTACTGACGGAGTTCAGCTAGGTGGATGCATCTTTTAAAAAACGGAGACATACGCAGGCAAAGTCGGACATCTTAAAAATTCCTAAATCATGAGCGAGGGGAAGCGGTCCGTATGGACTGACGTGTGGGTTTTGTACTGCTGCAGGCTTTGAACTGTTGAAGTTGTTATTAGTTGTCTAACCAAATTAAATCAGATGGCAGAAAGGTACATGTTACATTTAGGTAAGAGGAACATGAAGTGTAGAAAGACCAGTGAAAGATGGTATAGCAAAACAACATAGTGACCGATTTTCAAAAGGTGAGACTTGAGTTGGCTTATTTTACACAACTGCTTTACTTTTTTAATTATTTTTTTTTACCAGACAAATGTCTTACCTGCCTCAGATGCAGACATAATACTGATAGTTACAATGACTGTAAAACTGCAAAGGCAACGGCCTATATTAGTTTTAGTATGCGATTTTTGCACATCATCACATGCAGGGGTTTAATATAGTGATGGGAGCCTGATGTCTATCACAGAACTAAGAGAAGCCTAGAAGCAATGTCTGATGTGAGACTATGCAGCCAGATTGCCCCCAATAAAATATGATGCATCCTAAGTACAGCAGTTTACAAAAATGTGAACTAACTGTAAATTGGTTTATACAGAGCAATTGCCATTATATATTTTAAAAGAGTAAACGTGAACCTTTTTTAACTTGCAACTAGGAAATTAATTTAAGCGTGAGAGAATAAAAACTTAGAGATACACGACTGCACTTTGTATTTAGTTTGAAGTTCTTGAGAGTGTATTTACTTTCTTTAGAGATACCTTAAAAACTGTTTTGTCCTGCATTTTATTGTACATTTTAAGTTTTAATTGGAAGGTAAGTACTTCACAGGAACTGTTTTCACTTTGCATGGGTGGAGGCTGGTAATTCCATCCATAGCTTATATAAAATACAGTTGTTTTCAAAAGCTTCATGGTTGTCACTTGAGCTGGAATTGTCATACATTAGGCACTGTTCACTGGCATAAATTATGTGCAATGACAACACATCTCTAGAAAAGATGCATTAGAGAGAAGGATCTGTTGTGTTGGTTACACTATCACAGAGCATGAATTACACCTGAAAGTGATTTTTGGTTTATCCAGACTGCTTTAAAATGCCTTACAGATTAAAATAGGTAGGTGTGCATTTTGATGCAAACCAGAATGTAAGGTGCAGTGTTGTGTTGCATGTCCTTAGCTAACTGTACTTCATGTGGTTTCTTTCTCCAACAGTTTGGGAAACAGAATGCCATTTGATGGAGCCAGTGAACCTGACCATGCCCATGGGTCATTAAAGTCTGAATCAGACATTTTGCAGAACACACTACCTGAAAATGAGAAATTCTATTTTGATCTGTCCAGAATTATTGACAGGTGAGTTTCTTTATTATCACAAACAATGATGCACTACTTGAATCATGCAAAAAGATCGGTCATATTTTCAAACTGAGAAATAGGAAAGGAAGACTCAATTACAGAAAAAAGAAAACCACATGGCTGCTGGTTGAATACTGGTAGCAGTAGGAAAGTCTGCAAAAATGTTGATTGCATTGCCATTCTGGCACTTCCCAGAAAAGGCTGAGAAGTATATTGTGAAAATCAGGAAGTTTTTAAATGAAATTATCTTAATTTAATAGGTACAATAGATAAGGAAAGCAGTATTTTTACAAAATTAACATTATCAAAACGACATGAACCCAGGTTGTATTGTAGAGTTTATTTATTGTCCATTTCAGAAATGCAAGGCATGCTGATGGAATTTTCACCAGTGTCTACAGCCATCTTTTGGCTAAACTTGCTGTGAAGAGATATCTGCATTCGCTTTTTAGAAAACGAGTTAGGTGAGGTGACACTTACATTAGGTAGAGTTTTTTCCTAGCTGGCTTAATTGGCAATTTTTTATCCTTCTGTGTCTAAGTTTTCATTTTTACAATTTAACGGTAATGAAAGGTAAACTGATATAATGATGGGAGAGCTGAAAATCCTATATGACAACGTAGCAGTATTTGTTACTAAATGAATACATTACTATTTATTCCTGATACAGCTGTGAGGGGTAGAGTAACAGACTCTGCACATAACACTACTGCTAATAAATACAGTCAATATTATAATGATTATTACACCAATTTGCTGCTTTTTTTTCTCTCAGTGTTTTTATTATCTTGGCAGGCAAATGGCAAAAGTAAATACAAAACTACTGATTACTCAGTACTTACATTACAACAAGGGAATGCTCAATGAAATTAAGAAACAATTGTTTTACAGTGAAAACAAGAAGGAATTACTTTTTCCTGCTGTAGAACATACTGCCAGATGTTTGGGAGATCTGTATTATAGAACGATTTGAAACAGAATGTGGCAAACCTATAGACAAGGATTCTGGTTGCAACTTCCAGACCGGTTTATGTTCATAAACTAATGGTTGCAGGATGCTGGGGAGGATGGCTACATACTTCCTTGGGTTTCATATCCCGAAGCAGCAGCTACAGGGCACTCTTGGGAACAAAATAGAATACTTCAGTCTGTCCCAGTATGACAGTTCCTTTGAGTCCCTACTTCATATGCTCAAAGACTGACTGAAAATGAGATCCTGTGTTTATGTCAATGCTGCCTCTCTTTCAGCACATATAGTGCCAGCTTCTCATATGCTGTAAACTACCACAGATCATTTAAAGCAGAACATGCTGAGGCTTCCCAAGATCATGCATGAAAAATAGACGTCCAAGTTTGGATTTCACAAGAGTGTTTTGTCTCCTGATACCTCCTTAAAATAAGCATTTGTAGCTATGTATGTGATGCTACACTCTTGCTTTCCTCAGTGGCACGCTCCATCCTTACTGAACTGAGTTCAGTGTGAACAGTGACCAGGGCCCTTAAGAGCTTACTGTGACTTAGACCACTCTGCACCTTGGAATTGTATTACAATAAATTTACACAAATGATAGAAATCAAAATAAAGTCAGTTCATTAAAAGAATAGCCTGAGCTACGAGAAGAGCTAGAAAGGAGTTGTGAAATCCACGTTCAGCCATTTGATCCTGCAGAATTTCTGGGATATGACTCTAGAAATCATTGAGTATGGATCCTAATTGCATGGGCCATGGCAGAGTTTGGCAGGAGAAGAAAATCAGTGGAAGGTGTGCCCAAAAAGACTGAATATTGAGCCTTATAATTTGATACTTGCTACTAAAATACATAGCAAGGAATAGAAACAGTGGCTTCTTTTCTACAGAAGAAAAATCCAAAGTCATAGGTGGAAATAAAAGCAGAATTCAAAACGTGATTTTATTTAGCTAATCAACATTGTAAATTTTGTTTTATTCATTTAATGGTAGCTTCCTTTAAATGGGTATCTTTTATTAATTTTTTTTCTTTGTAATTGTTTTGCCAGCTCTCAGGACAGTCCTGTCAAACGTCACTCTGACGCTGTCTTCACTGACAACTACAGCCGCTTTCGAAAGCAAATGGCTGTGAAGAAATACTTAAACTCAGTTTTAACTGGAAAAAGAAGGTACTAAAGAAAGCAAATACGTATTGGTTCAATATTTGTATGATATTGAGACTTCAAGAATTATACCCATGTATGTATACAGAGAGGACAAACAAAAAGCAGTGAACAACAGTGATTTTATAATGTAGTTTCTAAGATGGTTTTCAAATACAGACAGTATTTTCTTCCAGACTGGAATTGATGCTGCGATCAGATTAGAATAAAAGAAAAAAGAGAGGACAGCACCTGGCAATTTAAAAAAGTTTCTGACAGATTCTTGAAATGCTTTTTTTCCTATTAAAAAAAGCCCCTTAAGGAAAAATCCACATTGCTATGGAACATGAACAACAATTTTATAAAGAAAATGCACTATTTGTTGAAAACTCACTTTTAAGAAAAAAAGCCTTTGCTTTTTAGCAGAAAAACTATATATCCTAATCAGTATAAGTGAGAAGTGCCAGCCTATGTTTTTGTAGAGCTTATATTGTTTGCTTATTTACTCATTTACACAACTGCTTTTAAACTCATGTCTCTTCACCAGTTAAACACGTTATTTCATGTGATTTATAACGTTTTGGCATAAATGTAATAAAACATGCAAGAGCTACAGCTAGAAGGCGGCTTTGCCTGATTCTTTACTTTTTCTTCTTAAAGCAATAAAACTTGTTTCTGATCCATTACAGCCAGGAAGAGCTAAACCCTGCTAAACTTCGAGATGAAGCAGAACTTCTTGAACCTTCTTTTTCAGAGAACTATGATTCTGTAGATGAGCTGCTGAGCCGCCTCCCACTGGTAAGCCCAGATTTCCTTTCCTCTTGCTGCTATTTGGCATAACCCATAAATTGAAAGTAATCCTACACGAAGTGTGGCCTGTCAGAAGAACAAAATCATCTAGAAGAGAGCCGTGCTCCATGAAAGAGTGAATGTTTCTATAGGGATTTTGTCTGAATATAATAATAATTTTAATAACAATAATTAAGTTATCCCATGATCGCTATTATTGAAAATTCCTAATTAAATGGCACTGTTAATAATATACCTAACTCACCTGGGTGTTTCAACTTGTGTGCACTGCAGCATAAAACTAGAATTGACTCATTTTTAATAACAAAGATTATTATTTCTTCAGACAACAAATCTAAGGATATTTCTTTTAACAATAGTAATAAAAAAGCTGCATATTTTATTTAACATCTATTTCATTAGAAGGGAGTTGCCCCTAGAACTAAGAGGATCAGCAGTGTGAGCCCTAAGCATTAAGAAAGCACTTGACTCCCACCTAAGGTGTGCTGAAGAGGGATTGTCCGACATGGAAATATTGCAGCAACTGTTTTACATTTAGCTACTACTGTTTTTCTAAAATTATTCGTAAATATGTTTCTTTGGTTTCCTGAAATGTAAACCCTTCTACATCAGAGCACTTGCAGAGATGTAAAATCAAAAGGGTAACTTAGGAGTGAATCCAGCTTGGTATTCCTGAATATGTATTATGAAGTTGATGACAGGCATTTTGTCATTTAGCTGTGCCTCAACCACAAGTAAAGAAAAAAGAAAAAAGGTTGCTTTTAAAGATTTTTTTTTTTTTTGAGGGAGGAGGGATATGAAAGAAAAGATATTTCTCCAGACTGTTGTTTCCTTCCAAGTCTGAAAGAAAATGTTCTTTTCCGTTCCACAAACGTGGCAGGTCCTCCAAAATTCCAAAAGATTAAACAGGATATAAACTGCTCATGCCTCAGGGCACAAAACAACTTCTAAGTGATGAGATTCAGGAAAAAATATTCTTTTTACACATTGCAAAAATATCCGCTTCTGGATTTTGCACCTTCTAAAACTTCTGGCATTGACTAAGTGAGAGTAGTGGTGCTATGGGTCACAGGTGTCTTCCTGCAAATATTTTCAGTCCTTTCCTTTCTTATGGACTGTACTGATGATCCAGATCTGCCTATCACTACCTCACGATTGACAGTTCCTGTTCATTTTAACACAGTGCCCTGTTGCTGGTGCAGTAAGCGACCTGCATTCATGTATCTATTTAATGATACTGTTGTTTTCAAAGTGAGCTGTTCTGTGCTCTAGATCAATGTGCAGTAACATTTTTGCCTAATTCTTCGGCCTTTCTTCCTCATCCTACAGCCTTGTCTGCTGACTGTAATGCCCACCAAGCCCCTGTCAATAGCTCTATTTCGTGCAATTGCTTTGTATCAAGTGTTACTTCTTGTCCTTTCTCTGCTTTTATATACCTCATGATGCAACTGCTTAGAAAAATAACTTTTAAAACATATTTCTTCTTTGCTTTTCAGGACCTCTGAAGGACATCTGGTAAAGTCTACAAGAACAAGCTATTTTTGAGTTCCACATAGTATTTCAAAGAGATGACTTTAGTCATCAAACCAGAACAAATATGTTGTGAAGTGAAAGTTGTGATATATTTGTTTCTTATGTAATAAAAGTTGATATTTACATTGTAAATATTACTCTAGAGTTCTCTACTGAAACCTGTACATATGAATGCCAGTTTAACTCATGAGAAGTCTGAGTCCATATGCTGTAAATCCCTTACTTCAATAAATTAATTTGAAAATGAGTGTGCAGCTGAAAAGAGCCCATCATTACAAATTAATTGGCTTATTTAGGTGCAGTACAACTTCAGATAAGCCTGTATGATAACAGGGATACATTTCCAGATAGTTTCATAAACAAGTGTAAAAACATGAGGAAAAGAAAATGTAAAATGTGTAAAATTGCATTGCAAAGATGGCTGAATGTTACTGCCGATAAAAAGGGAATGCTTTCTTAGCAGCACACCAAGCGACCAGAGAAAATGAAAAAACATTAGAAATTATTTGACCTCTGACAACGTATATTATTCCTGTTCAGATTTTTAATATTTCACAATACCCAAATTATATTAAGACCAAAAATGTATCCTTTATTTTCAGTCATGTTTTGGATACGCTGTGGCTGACAAAGCACACAAAGAGTGTTATCCCTTGATTAATTTGATGTCTGAAGTCATTGGTTATTCTACATTTAATTGTCTGTAGCTTCGATGATGAAACTACTGCTTATATATATTTAATAGATCTGAAGACACTTTACTATTTTTACAAAATGAATGTAATTTGCAGAATACGCAGACAATAAATCATTTTATTATCATGGCAAACTATTACTGTTTTGAATCAATGTCGTATGTACCTGGAACAGTAGAGGTCACAGTAGGTATCTCTGTTACAGTAATAGAGGAAGATATTATTTTTAAACTGAGAAACACAATGTTATATCTGAAAAACAAGCAATTAAACCTCCAGTCCAAATTTCTTTATCTTTATGTCATTGTAGCTTAGTATGGAACCAGAAATTTTCAGCTGATTTTCAGATTTAAACAATTGGATCATTTTCCAAATAGTTATTTACTGTTTTAAAGACCAAGCCATTGCAGTAAGGGAAGCATGTGGTGCTGCATGAACATGTGAAATGCATGTTCATACATGACACTAGCCAGGACACTCCCATGACTCCTCTCCCACTTCTTAGATTAAATTTCAAGTAGAAAACTTATCATACCTACTTACAAGTCCAATTTCAAGTATATCTATATATCATACATATGCATGCATAGACAGTGATAAAACTGATTTACAAGTTTCACTTATAAGTATACTGTTCTCATTTAGAAGGAAGCTTCAAACATGACAAAATTGAGATTTCTGAAGACTAGTTCTCATAATTATGTAGCCTTCTGATTTGCAATTTTTTTGAACATTTGGAACTGCATGGCAAAAGAAAACCAGCTTGCACAGATCAGATGCTATTATTACTATTTCTATCGAGCCTCATCAGAATTTATTTTAACCTAACCCAGTGAATGGTTCACAAAAGTTAGATGTAAATTTGAAGTGTTGAAGTGTTTGAAGTGTTGACCACTTGAAAAGTGGTCTTCTAATGGTAGTCCACTCTCAATTCCTCTTATGAAAATTTGAGCACAAAAGTGGCTTTGGATATACTTGAAGAATACTAACTGACTGATGCTATACTACCTAGTAGGAAATTTTCTTTGGTGTAGTTTCAACTTTGTTAGTATTTCTGTGATAAGTAATCTTAAAAAAAAAAAAAAGTAAAAAAAATTAAACTGAAAAAAAGTTGCACAAAGTCTTCATACACAAAACTTTTTGTTTAAATATACGTAATGTTCATTCAATTTAAAGTAATGAAAATTAGAATGATTAAAGTTCTGAGTCCACAATTCCAGAATTAATTTTTTTTTTCCAAATTTTCCTTTTAAAAAAATTATTTCCAGTTTACCAATAAGGCATTGGATGGAAGAGCTTGTAGTCCATGTCTAATGCTTAATATCCCAAATATTTTCTTCTCCACAGAAAACTGCAGAACTGACGAAAATTAGAACATGTCATTTGCTGTGTTACAATGGAGATGGAGGGGGTTACAGAAAAAAATGTGTGTGCTTATTAGTAAATTCTATATATATTATAAAATAGAAAATTAAAAACCTTGTAGTAATAATTAAAATAATACTGATAGCTTCATCAGAGGGTTAGAAAACAGTCTGCAAAAGGCATGCTAAATTCTTTGTACATTCTGTGTACAATTCCGTGTTGCAAAACCTAGCACTGAAAAGAGAGATACTAACCTCCAGAACACTATGCTTGAGTTGATATTTGTGTTAAAGGATGGGGTTTAACTTATCACATCTTTTGACATTCTATAGGAGATATAAGACCAAATTAATATATTGAGGTTAGTTAATTGTGAAGAATGTAACATTGTACACCTCAGCTCCATGAGCAGGTGGTTATGGTAAGGTCAAGTGATAAAAATTGAAGAGAAAATTGCAGCATTTCACTAAATGAGACAAATTTTCACTCTGTCAATGAGTCTTGACATGTCACCAGTCTCACATGTCACCAATGTCGCTTGACATGTCAACAATCTTACAATCATCTGCAAAATGTCATAAAAGTGGAATCAAAGTGTTAATATTAATTAAGAGGATGAAATGGGGCAACTCCGAAGACAGTGTCAAGAGGATTGCTATGAGGAAAACAATTACCTAGGTGATTTAGAAGAAAAAATGCAGCCAGTCAGGAGGAAGGAATAAGTCTGTGAAGGGTTACTGGGGTATATGTTAAAGAAATATCTCACCATATTTCCCTAGAATTTCACTTCTAACAAGACAGAAATAACTGTGATTGTAGAGGGTAGAACTCATTGGTTTTTGTTTTATTGAATGGGGGTTTTTTTTGGACCTACTCCATGGAGCTCTTAAAGAAAGGGACAGGATCACCTTTAAGTGCATTTTTACCAGCACTGGAAGGGGATATTTTCTGATTCTGAGTCTACGGAGAAGATTTACATGCTTGGGTACATCTTTACAATCATTACCCACCCCACAGCAACCCTCAGGATTGCATATAAAACACGAGAACTACAAAAGGTGACAACACATTTTAAAGTTCTAACCAGTAAAAACACATCAGAAATTAATAAAACTCTAACAATTCCTCTGATATTTTAAATGGGTTTGAGGGGTTATGAGTATTTGTTCCACCTGAAATGCTGAACCAAAATTTCTGTTTAAAAATATGAAAATGGATAACTTGAATCCAAAGCACAGGTATAACTTGATGCATAAAAATACTGAATTCTCTTCAAGGACATATCTTTGGCTAAGAGATTACGTATATAGGAACAATTTATTTGCTTGCAAGGCATTAGGGAAAGGTAGATGGAAAAGGCTGTCCATTGTTTCTTGTGATTATGCTTTGCACTACCTCTTTCATTTTTCCTTATTTTGTCTCTTCCTCCTTTACTTACACTAAGCTTCCCCCCTCTGTTAACAGTCTCAGCTTTGGCTTGCAAAGCTGGTATATGTGTGTATACTTACGTTTTTGAGAGGAACAGTTACAGCAGATCTTAAATTTATGGTGCAGTAATTTAATAACTGCCAGCCTTGGTTATGGAGATGAGTACTGCAGAGAACATGGCACAACTAGATTTGCAGGAGCAACCTGTCCTGCTCACAAACAGTCCCTCACTTCCCACTAGAGTTTTCTCATTTGGTTTGTGAAAGGCACAGAAGGCTGACCTTTCCTTGGATACATCAAACAGAATGTGTGGCCTCTTGGGGCTCACTCTGGCTCGGGTAAATACAGTATTTTCAGCTTTTCTTTCTCCTTTGGAACAGTCATAGAGAAATGGCTTGCCAGGTTGACAAGATGGTTTAAGGCTGAAGGTAGGAAACTAGACACTGGTCTTTTACATCAATCTTTAAAGAAGTCTGAAGAATAATTTGATTCATCTTTTGCTTCTGAAGTAAGAAACAGGAAAAGTTTTACTTCAGTTTTATAAACAGATGCATGCAAGCCACTTAGTAGGGAGGAGAAAAAGTAGCTTTCCCTTGTGGGGATGTGTTTTTAATAACTTAATTTATCAACATTCATAAATAAAAATATGAGTGGTTATTCAAAGATTAAGCTGAAAGTGACATAAATCATAAAAGTACAGTGAAAAAAGATAATTCTCTTATCAAAATATCAACATTCTCTTGGTGAAAACATTTTCATTAGAGCATGTTTTTAGGAAAGGATTGGGGTTGTTTCAATAATAAGGAGAAAAAAGATCTTGTCCTTCCCCACTGAGTGATTAATACTAGAGTTTTGCATAGGATAACATACTTAAAAGACTGTAAGTGAGGTTGGTCTCTGGGCTTGAGAAGGGAAGCATGCAGTAAGAAAGAAGAAACTGGCAAATGTTGAGACAGAGCAGGTGAAGACTGTGTACTCAAGAAAGTACCTGATGTTGAATCTAGTTTATATATGGGTGTTTGTTCCCTGTAGATTTAAGACTTGCTTTGAGAAGAAAGGTGTCAACTCTTGCTGTCAAAGGACCTCACATCATACAAAACCATTCATCAAGATAATAAGCTCCATAACATGACAAGGAGCACAACTGGGTTGTTTGTCCCCTCATTCTGCTGCTGCACAGCAGCTTCTGGATCTCGTGGCTGTGCTTATTGGGAACCTTCCTTTAACTGTGAGCATAAATGTTTGACAGACACCTTACCAATCATTTATTACCATCTTAATGTTCTCATTGTAAGAGTACCATTACTCTTCTCAGTGAGTTCTATTCCTAGATGTATTTATAGACTGCATTTCTCTACCAGCCCTTGCTTTGTTAGACTGAAGAAACAAAATCTTTTTTGTCTCATCTTGTAAAGTACTCTCCATTTGAGTGAGTTTACTACTCCCATATTACAGTTTACCAAATGCAACTTCACCTTCAAAATTATTAAATGACTCTGAATGTCTCTTCTTTATTGCAGTCATTTTGGAAAAGTGGCTAGTGATTTTGAGGGCCTCTGTTTTGAGGACTTTGGAAGAGCTGATTTTTCAGTCTGGATAGTTTTAGAGTTCTTTTTTTTGGTACTTCTTTAATGTTTACAAGTTTCCAAAAGCTGAGGAAGCAGAATCACCAGGCACTTGAAATACAATACCCTTTTTGGGGTGAGTGGAGGAGGAGCCACTCAATCCACTCTAAAATGTGGGTAAAGGG